CTTTTCAATTGCTTAAATTGGAAAATTTACTGCGATGATCATTCTTCACTTTCATCTACAACCGCAGTTCAAATATGAATTATTTCATATATACTTTACCTCAAAACTCACCCTGTGGAAACGCCCTCCATATCCCGAGATACATTATCATAATTATATTTTGGCGGGATAATCCTGGAAGTCCGTGTATTTTCTAGGTTCCGGGTTTAAGTAATCCGGCGTTAGGGTTTGTTATGTGTCCCTGGTTTTAGTAATTTTATGTTCCCGGTTTTAGTATTCCGGCGTTCCTGGTTTCAGTACCAGCCTAGCCTTCAGGGCTGCCGATATAAGGGGCTAACCGACCCTCCGCCGGCATATCCGCCTACCACGATCAAGTTCCTGTCTTGGTGTTCATCACGGATTTTAGTTCGTAGGATCGGACTTCACGCGAGATTCACAGGTTTGTTTGTACGATTGATTTGTAGTCATAAGTGATATATCTCTGATCCACAAAGCAGTATCCATGTCTCGTGGGCGGCCTGTACTACATGAAAAACTGAGTGAAACGGAACGGCCGAAACAACGGAAACGAAACGATTTCAACGAAAACCACAATTGATAGCGAAACCTAAGCGTAGTTTAAGCTCCGACAGGAGTCCTATGCTGATTGATCGAAGTGCAAGGAGACTGTAGACCTGCAGTCCTACACTCCGGTTACTCTGTGTAACATTCCTGTTAGCCTGAATAACACTCAGGTTGTAATGGTTGGTTTGGTTTAGTTTCGATCGTTTCGCTGCTTCCGTTTCCTTAGTTTCTTTTTGTTGTTTCGGGTTCTAGTAAGTTGGACACCTGAATAAGTGAAGTAGTTTGCAAGTTAAGTTCCTGTAACGAGTCAACCCGGTCAAGTTAAGTTCTATTCGACGTTTAGTTTGTTCATCTTTTTAATATACGGAAACTATACCATATTGTAATATAATTATATTTGACTTCTTCAAGTAGTGGCTCTTGTCTTCACAGCGTGCCAGATCTGAGCACTCTGATTGATGTCAGTTCATCGGAGTCATGACAAAGCCAGAGCTACTTACTTTCTAATTCTCTCTGCTCAAACTAGCGAAAATCATTTTCCTCTTCAATGCGATGCAATCGAATCAAACAACTCTGTTTTATGGTCGCCTGCTCAGGCATTCCAACCGGGTGATTGGCGTGCGGTGAATGACTGCAAAACTTGTAACTAATATCGTATTCTCATTCCATTATCGATAGCTAACCGTAGACAGAATTGCCTGTACGCTATTCCCAGGGGGGGACTCCCATTTAAAAAGGACGAGGTGCTCGTCGGAAATTTTTAAAAGAACTCCTAAGAGGTACCAAGGTCCTGTTTTGTGGGCGTGGCTTAAAATGTTCTTCACCCCTATGAGGTACCAATTCTAAAACAACTCATTAACTAAATGTGTGCTCTTTCAATGATAAGCTGTGGATTCCCGGTGTAAATGAAACAAAATTAAAAGTCAATCGATTGTCAAATATCTCCTGTCATATTTTCTTCGGCTCAATACCCTAAAAGGTACCGCGAAAGAAAGCGGTGGACGAGTACCCCCGTCCTTTTTATATGGGAGTCCCCCCCCCCCGGGGGCCGCTATTCAGGCTGATTAATTAAGTCAAGAATCTTGGATACGATATATAGCTGACGGATATATAAACATCCTCGCCAATATTTGTGCGGTTTTTCATACGCGGAGAGCTTTTATAGAGACGCCATGTTGGAGCCCTTCGAAGGGGCACCAATACGGCAGGCGTAAACATGGTAAAGTAACAGAAAGTTACGTCTGTCACTGAATTTTGCTATTAAAACGAAAGGCTAGTTATTAATCTACTGCTCTGACACATTCAAATCAATCATCTAATGCAAAAACTGTTCATTTAGACTAGCTTTACACTAGAGGAGATTTTTCCGTATTCGTAAATGTTTCCGGATTCATCAATTTTTCGTAGGCGTTTACACTACAATGGTATTCCGGCGTACAACTCCGGGAACATTCATATGAAATGGTCACCAAGCTGTTTGTTGGCTCGACAACGACAAACAAAATGCCACCAAAAAAGAAGGCTAAGGGTTGCGCGGGACAGGCTGAGGTTTTCTATCCACTCGCTGACCACTCCACTGTTGGCCATCATGTTGTCCCACCAAGCATTTGTTCTGACCGGTCTTATCCAAAACCGTCGAGGTCTTCGATCGCGTCAACGTCGTTCCCTCCGATAAAGTGTGGAGGACGTCAACATTGTTTGCATCAATAATTTTCGTTTTCTGAGGAATATGGCATTACCCATTATAAAATTGATTGCTTACAACTGTAACAGCATGAGGCAACCAGCGACCGTCATTGCTACCGGAAAAAAATATCAAGATTCGAAAGAAAATCGTTCACACGACAAAATCTCCGGATTCAAAAGTTTTCGGATTCAACGTTCCCACTTTAAGTTCTCCGAAGGCACGACGAAAACGTATTGCGCAGCTTTCTGCGCATCCCTAGCCCTACTTGCGGGGAAAGAACGGCGGACTGCTAATAAGGCAAGCATAAATTTTTTTGGCATTTCACTGTTAGGAAAACAAGACTCCCCCAGCCTACTCAGAGGCTCTCTTGGGTTACTTGTATGGATGCAATATGTACGTGTGTAAAGAGGTTTTGTGGAAAAATGTGTCTTCCCACCGAAATTTCTTGTATACCGTGGGGAATTAAAGGGTTCGGAAACCTTCCGAAAGAAATTGATTCTCCAGGAAAACAATACACCAGTATTCTATTAGTGACGTTAAAATGTTGCTTCTTACCGGGAAACTTGTGAAAGCATATAAAGTTCGTAACTTTTTTTGTTTACACGATCGACGAAATTCCCGCTATTTTTTCAAACTTGAAGTCTGGCGCACACCCAATACTTGCGCATGCTTATTGCGTTTTTCTGCTCTGAACTCTGCGCTAAATCGTAACATTACTGTAGGGTCGATGATGAAGCTGTGCTTTTCAGACGATAGAGACGATACCATAAAGATCATACTATGTAACGTCATTTCGTTTGACCAAATAGTTAACAGAACCCTCGCTTATGGCTCGGTCTTTCTCTTAGTCCAGTCCCTGAACTCGCCTTTCTTCCCGCCCCATACAGGGACTGAACCCGGGCGGGCGAAAGGAGAGACTCTCTTTTCGCCCGCCCTGGTTCAGCCCCTATATGGGGCGGGAAGAAAGGAGAGTTCAGGGACTGGACTATCTCTCTCTCTGAACAAGAGAAAAGGAGGAGACAGCCATCTCGAGGCTTTGATCTTTATGGTCCCTTCGGAAACCGTGTTTCTAGAGTTAAGCCTCCTATTTCAAAAAACACCGTTAGAGAACGTTACAATAGTTGTTTGAAACTAAGGGTGCAGCCACTTAAACTGAAGAAAGGCCTTCTTTACATAAGAGCTTTCTCTTTTCATATTCGAAGTATAGCAATAAATCAACAGCCCTTAGAATTAATGCACGGCTTATTTCTTTCTTTACATATGATTAATCAATAGCAGATTTCCCACATGGCTAGTGCATCACCAACAGCTTCATCCAATAAGGAGACCACTAACTATGCACGCTTGTGTCGTCTCCTGGTTGATGTTGGTACCCAGGCCCTTAGGGACACACTTGATGCCATTCACGCACCAGCAAATCTTCACGCAGTTTTGGCGGCAAATAAACCCACTTTACAAGGTCTCAGATCAAGAAAAATTATCAATTCGACGCAATGGGGCAGGCTCTTTCCAGTCATTCCTTCTTCAGTGTCTTCGAAAACCTTTGACACTACTCTTTTGATGGTTCTCTTAAGAAATGTGTGCGGCTTGCCTTCTCCAATGACCGGGTGGGACACACTTCCCGCTGCAACGGACATGACTCGTGAAGCAGATATTGCTCGTATTAAGTACTTGAGAAACACCGTGTACGCCCATGCCGAACAAGCTTCGGTTGATGACACAACGTTCAACGCGTACTGGCAAGACATTCGGGACATTCTGGTGAGATTGGGAGGGGTTAGGTACAGGGCAGCTATCGACAATCTGCAAACTGAGTGCATGGACCCTGAAACTGAAGATCACTACAAGCTACTTCTCAGTGAATGGAAAAAGGACGAGGAAAACATTAAAGATGAGCTAAAAGAGATCGGAACCAAGATGACAGATGTCATGAAAAAACTGGATGATTTAACAGCAGCAACTGTGACTAACAGAAAGGAATCAAGCGATGAAGGTAGGTTTTAATGACACTAAGGGTCGATTTACACGGTATTTTGTGACAAATTTCTACTGAGTAGGAGACGAGGTGAAGTGTTCTTGTGTCAAAATGGCGGACGAACTTGTTGTTGACTGATTTATATGAAGACGTTTCTCGAAAAGTACTGAACGGATTAAAGCGAAAAACATTTCTTTAGAAAGTTTTTTCAACGCACAGGACAGCTAAAATATTTTCTTACTGTTTGTTAGAACTTTCGCTCCGAAAATCCAGGTGCAGACTTTTGCATATTTAATTTTGTAAGTGAAAATGTCAAGCGCGTGTAAATGGTCTTAAAGGAGTAGGTCACTCCAAAGACCGTGTATTTTTTTCCATCACCAATAAAAAGTTCACATTGAGTTGAGTTACTCACCGTTGTTTTAGCTTCTGAAG